GCTTCATCGAAACATCATTGTTTCATTTTGGTCGCGACTGACTACTTTACCAAATGGGTAGAAGCAGTTGCTTTGAAAAATGTGGATCAGAAAGAAGTGATAGACTTCGTTTTGAACCAAATTATTTACAGATATGGTATTCCTCAGTCTATAACAACCAACCAAGGCTTGGTCTTTACAGGGGAAAAGTTCTCTAATTTCTTGGCAGAATTCGGTGTTCGGTTACATCATTCTTCACCTTATTATCCCCAAGCCAATGGACAGGCGGAAGCAGCAAATAAGATTATCATTGGGATTATAAAGAAGATGATTGAAGGGAACCCAAGAAAGTTGGATTTGTTATTGTCTCAGGCTTTATGGGCACATAGAAATACCAGAAATACGGCCACAGGGTTCTCACCTTACCAACTTACGTTTGGCCAAGATGCTGTTTTACCAGCCGAAATTCGAGTATCATCTGGCTGAACAGAATTTACTGATAGTGATCTTACAAAGGAATACCAACAACTTATGTTGCAGCAGTTAGAAGATTTGGATGTTAACCGTCTCCATGCAATAGATCGAAGTGTGAAACAGAGTGAAATCAGAGCAAGGAGTTACGGAAAGAAAGTTCTTCACAGGACATTCCAAAAAGGAGACCTAGTCTGGAAGACTATTCTTCCTACATATAAGAAAACTGATCAATTGGGAAAGTGGTCACCGAATTGGGAAGGACCATACATTGTTCAAAAAGATATTGGAAATGGCGCGTTCATTATTGTAAATCATGAAGGTAGAAGAGTACATGATTGTATCAATGCTAAATATCTGAAGAGGTATTATCCTGCCTTTTCAGATAACAAGACTGCCTGAAACAAAATATTATTCAGAACCCATTTGTGGGGTTCGAACCTACGGAAAGGTTCATTTCTGTTAGTCATCGTGTAGTTGTGGGAAATTTTCTGCCTCTGAATCAGACTTTTCATCCCAGTGAGTGGATATTAGCTCTGGTTCTTCTTCAATAAGATCTTCCAAATCTGGTCGGTACCTTTCCCATTGGCTTTGCATTTCATCTAAATCTTGATGGGTACGTGCTTGCATGTCTGTTATGGCTTGATGTTCACGATCAACAATGGTCCGTAATCTTGAGAAGACTTTTCGTTGGTTGGAAAAGATATTATCCCAACCAAGATCTGGAAGTATAGTTGCTGCGTGATTTTCTATCATTTCCATGTGGTGATGGAGATCAGGAATGCGGCTAAGGATGTCACGAAGAGGTTCATACCCCTCAATGACTTTTTCCATCAGGCGGATGACGCGATGAATGGTTCTTCTTCCTCGTTGGGAGAATCGGAATTTGAAGTCTAGTTGCTTGAGTATATGTAACAAGTCTTCTGCATGGCCTCCAATAGGGTGATTACCCACAAAGAAGGGTTGAAGAACACCCTGCCAATTGTTTGATGGAACATAAGGTCGGTCATTCGCCATGTTTGTTAATACTTTAAGTGTTGTGATTTTCAAAATATGCCTTGGAAAGTGTTTCTTAAAATGTGAGAAACAATGTTCTTTTAAAGAAGGAGTTTGTTTCTATTCCTACAAAGTTGGAAATTGAAAGGTGATCCTTGTTTTGTGAGACGAAAGAAAAAATGGATTACTAAGTCAATTGTTGTTACAAAGGGGGAAGTATTACAACAGTGCCCCTAGGGCAGTTTTTATATGGGTCCATTTGATTTCATCCCTGGATAGCCTTCTGGTATTGGCAGCCGTCTGATATCTTATGATGAATTGGGATCGGGCTTGGGTTTTCAGCTCTTGATCCAATTCAGCTTCATTCTTGGTGTACTGCTCAATCAGACGCTGCTCATTGATAATTTGCTTATCCAGGGTAGACTGTTCTTTCCTCAGCTCCCGCAATTCTGCCTCCTTTTTCTGAATAGCTTCATCAACTTGAGCTTTCGTGTTAAGGAGACCACCCAGCCTTCCAGTAGTCTGCTGGAGGGATTCTCGGGTCTTAGCCAAAGAATTCTCCAGCGCTGTTTGATCGAAGTCGGGCTGGGGGGTTTCGGCTGACAGGAGTCCAATGACTAATACTTCAGTCTTGAGCTCTGTAAGTCTTTCCATCAGCCGATGCAGAATGGGGACGGCTGGCGATTCCGTTGGAGTGTAAAAAAGAAGGCCACCAACCGTCTGAATGAGTTTGTCCAACAAATCGGATCTCAATTCTGATAGGGGACGGTTAATGGCCTCAGTGAATATGGTTCGGGCCTCCGCCGGAACCGGAACAGTCGATAGGACAGCTAAGTCCGAAGGCCCCTGCAAGTCCTACAATGTCGATAAGTATTCCAAGGAAGGTGCCAATTTATTCAGATCAGATATGTGTTACCTCTGGGCGGACTGCTGTCAGTGAAGGGGGCAGCAATGAGGTCGGCCGAGTAGGGCAGACAGCTGGTATAATAGCAGCCGACTCGTCGGCTGCTGCGAATGGTCGCTGAGGTGCCGACTTGGGTCCCTATGGAAAGTAGTATATAGAACAGTTAGTGTTTTCTGAAGGAAACATTGTAGCATGGATTGGTTTAATCTTACCAAGTTCACAGAAGTCTCCGAATCGGATGAAGAAACTTCTTCTATTTCTGGAGGTTGGGCTGCCATAGGTGGTTCTTCTGCCTGCCCCTCGATTGCTGGTGGGAGCGCCGCTGCTGGCTGGACGGCTGCAGGGTGGACGGCTGCATCTAGAGCCACTGCAGCTGAGGCATTTTCAGTCTCCAGCACGGCTGCACCCGATTGGACGGTTTCGGGATCAGCAGCTTCCGGGACGTCGTATGGAGGGTCAGCTTCGGCAAGGGCAGCTGGTGTTTCCTTCGACATGGATGAGTCTGATGCTATGTATGGCGGTCGACCCATCTGGGAAGTAGTTCCCTCGCTGTCAGAAGAGACCCCTGCTGCTGATGGGATGGGTGAAGGTGTCTGTGGAAAAATCATGAAGATGTTTGTTGTTAAATATATTAAGGTTGATCATTCGAATCCTAAGTCTTGCTGATAAAGGAACTTACTGGTTCTATAGGCACTGCTGGTAAAGATTGTCTCCTGGTCGGGGGCCTGGCCCGACCACTCCTCGGTACGGGAGGAAGAGTTTGCCTCCGCGTCGGGTCCTCCGCCCGACTGCTCAGTGGCAAATTGGTCTGGACCAAAGGCCCGATTGAATGATCGGTTGGGGCTGGCGTCGGTTGCATGGTCGATGTCACCAAGGTCGGTTCTGGGGAATGAAATGAGTAAATTCAAAGTTACGATATAGTGAATTGGTTCACGGTGTTAAGAAACATTACCAATTCGGGGTCGGGTCCTTGCTGACGTCCTATTTATTCCAAGGTCTGCTAGTGTTTGCTGGTCGGTCTCCGAGGTCGGGGGTGTTTGCAGCTGGGAAGTTTTTCTTTTGCGCGTGGGACCACCAGATCCGATTCCCGGGGCGGTTGTTTGTTGTTGGGTGCTAGTATGTCTCGCCGCCCCTAGAACCAATCCTTGGGGGGGAAGGAGTATGTTCAGCAACCGACCCTCATCAGGGGATATCAGGGACCATACAACCGACCACCATTCATTGAAAGTATCTACGATCTCAGGGTTGGAGCGGAAAGGAATATAAGAATTGGAAATTATATACGTGGTGAGCTGGGAGATATAAGAAGGGATTGAATTAGGAAGGACTCGTCGGTCGGGACTTTGAAAAATTATTTGGGGACACGCGACGGGTCCAGGGATACCTTGGCAACAGCCGAACTGGCGCGCCATGAATTGAGGTTCATAGTTGAAAGTGTAAAAAGTTTTCTGCCCTTTTTTATCAAGTTTCTTGCTACTAAAAAGAGACCTGGGTTTGAGGGCGACGTCCCAGGCGAAAGGATAGGTGGGATGAGGACAAGGCTCAGGAGTCGGAAGCGGGTTTGGTACTGGAAAGGGCCAAAAATGGTCGGGAGCATAACCCGCATACTTTTTATACATAGAAAATCGAGAGTTACTGCGGGTATCTGTTAAAATGGCGGTTATTATGGGATCGGAAGATTGGAGTTTATTGCGTCCTGAGCAGAGTCGGTTGAGGACTAATCCTAAGTGTTTTTCAGATGTTGGCATAGGGGGCGGAGATCCTAAGTTAAACGCGTTGGGGAAGTAAAGACGGAACCAAAGTTCTAAAAACCAAAAAGGACCCGACGCGGCAGTGTCTAATTTCCTATTATCGTTATCTGTTAAACGAAGGCTAACCCTGGTCGAGGTGAGAAGGAAGAACACTTTTGGAAGGGGAAACAATGACGTACCTACAAAGCCAGAACAGGATAAAGGCAGTATGCTCCCGGTCGGTTACAGGAGTCCCTGGAGCCCCTTGCTGGTCGGTTGCGAACTTTGTCCAACCCCATTCCTTCACACCTTGTAAAGACCATCCCGGATGGTCTTCTGATGGCTCCTGCCCATCTAGGGCTCCCATTACAGGGTCTTCACCCACGACTGGGAGATGTGCGATCATGGCCACGTCCATAAGAGTTGGGCCAAAGGGGGCCGATGGCAAAAGGAAAGTCCCATTTTCCGCATTCCAGAAGGCGGACATGGCCAACAGCACCTTCTCATGCAGGTTGATAGGCATGGTGGACAGTAGTATTGCTTGGTCGATCTTTTGGGATCGCCATTGGGTCTGGAAGTGTTCTGCTACTCGTCGATACCAAGCACGATACAGATCTTTTGGGTCTGTGAGATGGGTCTTGATGCTGTCTCGGATGCGAACTGCTTGGTAGTTGGGATTGTTGATAGCCAAGGAGTTGCGAGATTCCAAAACTTCCCTCATCCGATTTGAATCTTCAGGAGTAGTGCAATATGGACGGATCGTCGGAGTTAGTACTTTCGAGGCTGAAAATGGACCTTCTGGAAGGGTTCCGTCGAAAGGAAGGGCAGGAATGTATTGATTCGCCATAGTTAGAATGTTTTGGGATTGTGATTCACACAGGCTTGTATTGCGAAGAAGGAAGTTAACCAAGAGTGTTGCAGTAACTGGTGTAGTTGCTAAGGAGGTAGTGCTTTATGAACTTCCAAACATTGATTGTTAAATGGCGTTTGAAAGTCCCTTGGCGGCGGGCAAGTTGTTACGTACGAAATTTAGAATTAGGTTAAAAGCCCAAGGTAAAAAGAAGAATGGGCCTGGCAATAGGGTTGATTGAACTGGCTGAAGGACACCGTGAGGAAATCAAGGAAAATAAATTTATTTATTTATTTCTAAGGAAAATACAGGTCGGAAGGTTTTCAAGTCGGTAGGTCCTCAGGACGGAAAGACCTCAGGACGGAAGGTTCTTAGGTCGGTAGGTCCTCAGGACGGAAAGACCTCAGGACGGAAGGTTCTTAGGTCGGTAGGTCCTCAGGACGGAAAGACCTCAGGTCGGAAGGTCTTCAGGTCGGGAGGCCCTCAAGATGGAAAGACCTCAAGTCGGAAGGTCTTCAGGTCGGAAGGTCCGCAAGACGGAAAGACCTCAAGTCGGAAGGTCTTCAGGTCGGGAGGTCCGCAAGACGGAAAGACCTCAAGTCGGAAGGTCTTCAGGTCGGGAGGTCCGCAAGATGGAAAGACCTCAAGTCGGAAGGTCTTCAGGTCGGGAGGTCCGCAAGACGGAAAGACCTCAAGTCGGAAGGTCTTCAGGTCGGGAGGTCCGCAAGACGGAAAGACGATGAGTCGGAAGGTTTTCAAGTCGGGAGGTCCTCGAGACGGAAAGTCGTCGAGATGGGATATCCGCAGGTCGGGTAAACTGTAGGTCGGATAGAAGGAGGAGTCGGACAAACGCGGAGGCCTTTGATCAAAGACAGGGGGCGGTTGATATGGAGGTCGGCCCAAGTGGGGTCGGGCGAAGAAGTAGGTCGGACGAAGGACGAAGTCGGGCCAAAAGAGCGGAAGGTCTGTGGTCGGCTCAAGGAGTGAAATATAGGGAATTTTGGTCTGCTGGGGACACGTGTCAGCATGAGAAAGGTTGGAAGACGGTTGAGAAGGAGACGTTGTAACCGTTCGGGTGACGGTTTTCAGTACGGTTTCCCAGGGAATATTTAAGGATTTGGATCATCATTTGGCAAGACATCTTCAATCAACTTCAACAAAGCAAAGTCAGATTTGGGGATCACCACTTTAAATTTCAGTCTTTTATTTTCCAGTTTATTTTCTGTACCATACAGTGTTTAGAGATTCCTAATCTCAGACACTAATTAATCAAGTTTAAGGATATTTTCTATATCTTTGAATTTTACTTTATTTTTGTTGAAAAATTACATCAACATGTAGGTAATACAATTACTAAATTAGGAAATAGTAACCTTGTTATGGGACGGATGAAAATGGAAAATGATAACCTTTCAATGGGACGGAGGGAATATATATAAAAATAGTTAATGTATAATACAAATAACTATAGGTTAAAATTAAAATAACTAATAAAAAAACTTAATTAAGATTTAACAAATTATAAATTATAAAATTTAAAATGCAATTATTATTTTCTAAAAAATGAAAAAATAAATTATATGGAATAAAAATAAATAAAAAATAGGAATGTAAAACGTTGAGAGAAGTATAAATGAGAATTTCTTAGTATATATGAACTTTTTTATTTTTAGTGAAATTGAAATTATTATGTTGCTACCATGACACAAAAATGGATCTATATATATACTTATAAAATAAAAATTTGAACCAACTCGCCAATACAACTCATTCTTCATTGTCATCACTAATCAACTAAATCTTAACTTACCAAATAAAAATAAAAACTTACCAAATATTACTAGGAAATTAAATGGGGGCAAAAAAAAAATCTGTAGAATTATCAATGACTTTTTTTTGGAAAAAAAATCATTTTTGGTCCTCGTATAACCAAAATTTATTAATTTTGATTCAAATATAAAAATCTTATTAATTTAGTCTCAATATAACCAAAACTCATCATTTTTGTCCAAATATAAATTTTTTTATCAATTTTAGTCTCAATAATCAAAACTTATCATTTTTAGTCATAATATAATCAAACCTTTTTTTTTTTTTTTGTCACACCGTCAACAAATCGGATACGAATATGCAAGAAGACTTGCAACAAGTTGAACTGTTGTCTGCTGCAAACTTTATGAAGAAATTGCACAATCTTACAAGTCCACGTCTAAGACAAAAAATAATGAATTTTGATTATATTGAAACTAAAATTGATAAAAAATTTATATTGAAACAAAAAATGATAAATTTTAGTTATATTGAGACAACAAATAATAATTTTGATTATATTAAAACCAAAATTGATAGAATTTTTATATTGAGACCAAAGTTAATGAATTTTGATTATATTATGACAAAAAATAATTTGCTTCCCGGCCCAAGTCTTTTCAGCTTCTATATATGAATAATTAATAACCTACGATGGACAGCCCTACGTTTGTCAGAGACTATCATAAGCCCAATTATGCCATTTTAAATTTAAAATAATAGGAGTCAGGAAAGATAGTCATCCGTTTACAATGCATGGCAAAGCAAGCTAACAACAATTACCTTTATAACACACTAATCTTAATCTTCTCACACCTATTCATCGTTATCTTCATCCCTGCCTTCGCTACCATCACTTAGTTCCTCGTCTTGATCTGTTTCTTCACGACCATCACCTCCTTCTTCGTCGTTCTCGTCCGATTTCTTGTTCTTGCTCGGTGCATTATTTCCTAAATTAAAATAAGATGAAAGTGCGTGAAATGGAGTTCATTTAATGCAAATACATCCGTAAAACTGAGATGAATAACTGAGACATAATGTGTGATGCAAACAATTAAACTGAAAACGAAACTGGATATGGGTGGGAAACTTGGTAAGCTATAACACCAAGGGAACCATCTAGGCTTCTAGTACATTTTCATTTATAACGAGGGCACGAATAAACACACAGGGGCATGTTTAATTGTTTGCTAAATAGAGTTGGGTCGGGTGAGATTATTTAGCTAACACAACAAGTACAATAATAATTGCTAGTAGCAGATTATACCTGTCATCCAAACATGCATCCACAGAAATCAGGAATTAGTCTTTCAAAAAATTGAATTTTAACTAAGCCAAAGCAAAAACTGTATTTACCGAATGCATCGAATATGATTCCTCCACAGCACAATCCTTCCTCAACTTTTACCAACTGAAGTGTCATTCTAGGTCCAACTTCTTGAAGTTTGACAGCACTCTTACTTGATGCCTTATTAACTCTTCCAAGATCCATTGGTAGACTTACAGTTGCTGCTTCGTCGTCCACTTCACTTTCTGATCCATAACCAGCCCTAAAATATGAAATTATGGAAGCCACCAAAACATTAGGAACATAATGGAACATACCGATAGGAATGATAAGAAGCATTAGACTCATGAGATACTAAGGCCCGAAAGACTTGCCAACTACATCTACCTTACTTATGATAGCCTAAGAAGAGAATTACATGCTAGCAATACAAGCTCATGACTAATAACCTCAACATCTACTTGATTGCATATCGTAACTCCATAAACAATTTTACATTTTAGTTCATTGGAAACAGGAGAGGATGGAGGTTAATCAAGAAATACACCGGTTGTAATACAGGCTTCCAATATAATGTCTCATGGATAAAAGATATCAGAACAAAATGAAAAACTATAGCTCCCATGACCCAGTGATTCTTATGCAAAATATTAAGGTGCATGCAAGTGTGAATGTAAAGAGCTCAGGGCCTAGAGAGAGTACTTTGTTAAATAATCACAGACATCCTGAAGAGTTCTCAAATCAGGGGCCAGATGGCTCTGTACAAATTTTCTTATTCGTCGTGACACCCCAACCGGTTGTAATCTGATTGAATAGTGCCGGAAATCTATATGTTTGGTGTCTTTGTTGTAATTTAGCAGCACAATTCTTTGGCATGAAGAAAGCTTGACCTGAAACAAGTCCAACAATATGATGCGGTCCACTAGGCATGCAAAGCTCCTGACGCTAGGTTTCAAGACTTACAGTGTTTATATCAATGGCAGGAAACATGTTCTGAAACATTATAGTTGTAAGCCTAAGATGCTGCTCCCCAGTCCCGAAACCAGAAAGGACAATCTACAAATTAACTCACAAACTTCAGCATTCATATTTAGTGTAATAATTAAAGTGGCTAAAACAACGCATTAAACAGAATAGTTGCAGCAGCTAAAGCCAATCCAAACATTTGTAAAACACTCAGAATTTGAAGAAGGCATAAACCAACCATTACCAAAGGCGGGTTATCAAAAAGATCTTTATGACTTCTCGGACGCAATTGAGACTTGACAACATCAGCAACCAACGAATACTCAAGAATTTTGAAGGTTAGAGTTGGGCCCTGTGGTGTTCTACCAACCCTCAAGTACGGCGCAGAATCAGTTTTCGATAAAATCAGGAAGTGTGTAACACCCATTGGGCTTGCCACGTTCAAAAAATCTTTGAGATTGTTCCTCTTTTTTTCCTACAAATAAAAGCAAATTCAGGCATTGGGAAAGGTTAATGCACAATCTAAATCTAAGTAGATGCGTCAACTGAGGACTGGTAAACAATCCAAATTTATAGTAAGTTCTTAATATCAATTGAATCATGTGGAGAGCAATACAGTCCAGAGAAACAAACAATTAAAAGAAGAAGAAGGAGGAGAAAGAAAGCACGCGACAAATACTCACCTTGAGGTTGAGAGCCGTGAATGGAAGCATCAATTTTCTTAAATCCATCTGCAATTTTCGAAGAACGTCGGGTAACTTTCCCCGAGAAAACACAAAACTCTTCGGGATCTTGTCCCCGGTTACATGGTCTACGGTCGGTTGTTTCTTTATAGTCGGTTTAACAAACGGTTTCCTCTTTTTCTGCATCAACAAACAATTCAGAAAACAGCAAACCGAAAAAACGAATCCCATTACTCAACTTGCAACAGACAAAATACAAAACAATGAGAAAACATGCACTCTCGTTAACAACTTCACACTTACATTCCGAAAGCGAGGCATCTTCCTATAGAAGAACTACAATTCCGTAGCTTGAAATCTCAATCTAATCGAAGCTCCTGAGAAATCAACAGCAGACGCCCTCGCAGTAGGAAACGACGACAGAGCAGAGCCTAGGGTTTCTGTTATTGAAACAATAAGTTCAAAATAATTCGCTGGCCATACTCCTCTTAGATTTACGCTTCTTAAACCATATTTTGGGCTCCAGACAGGCCCAATACCAAATCAATTGGGCCAAATTGATCCAATCCAATAAAAATAACATTAGAGCTTTAAATTGAATTTTGTAAAAGTGTTTTATTGTAATTAATAATCATTTATGGTGAAAATATAGTTGGTGCAATTAAATATTTAATATTCGCATTCCCAATGCGTAAAGCTTAATCTAAATTAATTGTTCTATAAATTAAATAATGCTGCCAGCGTCCTAGATAATTGAGCGTGTTAGATTAATAAGTAATTAAGAAATATATTAAAAAAAATAATTATTATATGGTAAAAATAATTATAAATTAAAATTAAAATAATTAAATAATTTAATTAAAATTTAAAAAGTTATAAAATATAAAATTTTATATATAATTAAAATATATAATTATATTTTAAAAAAGAAAAGACAAGTTATTTGGTTAATAGTCAATTAAGTAGTTATTAATGAACCCCTTTTTGGTAAGGTTGTGAATTAGAGGGTGTACTTGGTTAAGAGTCAATTTTAACAAACACTGAAAATCAATATATTTGTTAACATAGAACCTATAATATGTTAATGATACACTTGACTACTTGACTACTGCATAGTGAAGAGATCAATTGGAAATTCCATGATACATATGGAATTTAGAACTAGGACAAGTAGAAACTCTGCAAGAAGATTAAAAAAAAAATATATATATATATATGTATAAGTAAAAGGAACAGAACTTACAGGGGTATCTTCTTCCATTGGCGGACTGCAATAAGAAAAATTATCATCAAAACTGTTCCAAGTAGAACCAACTCAAGAGCCCTACAAGGCAGATAAGTGGGAAAGTAATTTTAGAATTTAAAATTTGAATATTCATAAA